CTTTCTCATTGTACCTTGCCTGGCCTGCCTGGGACAGCAAAGCATGGTGATTATGAACACCATGCGGAGCGCCAGGCATTGTTTTTACACATGGTCCGAGCTCTCAGCCAACCCCACGTCTGAACATGCCCCAGTGATTCTAAATATCACAAAAAGTGAGCCAGGTCTTTGTGAGAGAAGAGAAATGTCTTACTAAGGAAAGAATGTTTTCTTGACTTGAGAGAACAGAAGACAGGAAAGAGGACGCCTCTTCTCAGCTGGGTCTGCAGCCACTGCCTTGAACAGCAAGCGTGACGATTAATGAAGATAGTAAAATGTACCCAATCCTCCTGCCTGTAGGTGCAATATTGTATTCATGGAAGAGCTATGTGAGCCTTGATTTAGATTAACTTTCATTAATAGGCAGAATTCAATCATAAGCCTTCTTCTTTTCCCCCCAGGCTTTCTTAAATTCCACACCCAGCAAGTGTGATGTGCTTTCTCCTCCCTAGGCAGTACTGCCTCCTCCCCAAAAGAAAAGAAAAAAAGGGGGGGAAATGAGGAGGCTGGAAAGGAGGACCACACGCCCCACACTGGCTCCCCACAAGTCTCATGCCGCCACTCAGCTGGCTCCCGCGGGTGAGGTGAGAGTCTTTTCCTTCCCCAGTCACGCAGGTGCACAGTGTTCACGGCCGGGCTAGCCCAGATCTTCTCAGACTCGTCTCGTGTTCCCACTGGCGTTGCCTCCATCCAAAAGTCTGAAGTTTTCTCTCCATAAATTGGGAATGTTTTCCAGTCAACCCCAAAGTTCAAAGAAGCCCTCTTCAGACCCAAATAGAAGTGGAGTTACATATTGATTATCACTTTCATTGTCAAGCGTTTGAGGTAATCAGTTCCGAGATGTCACTCCTTCATTTCTTCCAGTTATTTATTGCACTTGGTGGATGGACGAGAGCACAATTACGGAGAAGGCATGAGACCACGTAGGGCCTCCCAAATTGTAATTCATTTATCTTGTATAAAGCGTTAAAGTGTAAGTCAAGTAAGTGTATCTGCCGAGGAGAGAAATGCTTTCAATACCTTTCCCGATGGACTGGCAGGATTCCTTGGCATTCAAAGCCCAGAATTTCGTCTTCAGGCTATTCGAGGTCACGGGCTTGCCAGGGACATTGGGCAGGACTCAGCAGTGGCCAGAAAGTGCTGGCCCGCCCCCAAGGTGGTTGTGCTTGAGGACAGCAGAGAGGAGGTGAGGACAGGGACCCGGGCAGGACCTGCCTGCTCCCCCAGCTAAGGCCCTCCCTCGCTACTCGCAAAGAAGACAGACGTCTGAGCTTCTCCTTAGCAACCTCTGAAGTTAATTGGTGCTTAAAATCAGGGGGGACTCAGGACACGGATGGACGTGGGTCACCTGGGCTGCCTTTGCACCAACAAAGGCATCTCTTCATCTCATCATGAACTGTGTGATGCCCTTGGCCAGGGCAGTGATCTGAGAAAATCGCCCATGGCAACAATTAGGTGAGGAGTCTTCACCCACTGCCAAGACTTCACTGAGTGGTGGAGGGGAGAGAATTTATGTGTTATCCAATTTAGAGCAGCAGAAACATCAACTTAACGCTCCCCAGTTCTTCATGGGACAGATCTGACCCAGGTCTGGAGGATGCCGAGAACCAGGGACACTGCAGAGACTGCGTCCATGGGCTGTGACAATGACAGCTCGGGCAGCTCCGACAGGACCAAGGGATCCCTGCTCTCCTCTGCAAAATGGAACACCTACCTGAGGCAAAGTGAGAGCTCAGGGAAAAGAGGATGTGTCATGGCACAAAATAAGTGCTCAGTGAACAATAGTTGTTATTATCGCCCTCGTCACCTTCCAGGTGGCTGGGGTGTGTGGGAGTCCCTATCCATGCAGCAAAGGGGACACAGGTGGGTACTTGGCCCCTCCACCAAGGTGACTGAGTACCGTAATTACCTGAATATAAGCTTCGCAGAGGTGTGGAGGAGGGACCTACGAGGAGAACGCTGGAGCTGTATCAGCTGGAAGAAAGAAGATCTCATCTCACAGCGCTCTCGGAGACCTGTGAGTACCTGAAGCTTAGAGAGGGCTTCGACAAGGAGTGAGCAGTGAGAGCCACGTGAACATGAGCCTGGGCAGTGGGAGGAGCCCCTTGCTGCTCCAGAATCTCTGACTGGAGGGAAGTAGGCGTGTGATGGGGCTAGCTTGAGGGGAGTTCCTCAGCCTCATTTACAATGAGCCAGGAAGCCCTGTTTCCAACAGAGAGCCTCGGTGCTCACATAACGGATGGAGAGGGGTTGATCACTAGTTCGTGAGCAAGACATGGCCAGGGATGGTGACACGGTGGGTGTTTACCCACCGGATGCCAGACACCCACAGGTGCTCTTACCTGTACCAGGAGAGCGAGAAGTCAGAGACGGTGACTGCCCCTTGGTCCCCAGCCGTCTTTATTCCACTTGTCCCACGCGGCAGGCAATGGCTGGTGTTTTTAGCAGGTGCTATTTCTAGTCCGCACAATGCTTCTGAAATATAGGTATTATGGAACCAATTATCTGACGAATGAAATAAACTTCAGAGAGGTTAAGAGAGAGAGAGAGCTGCATCGTTATGTGTAACACTTCACTGGCCCCACAATCCTCCTTTAGATGAAATTCTGAATGTGAGTGGTCAGGAGACCTGTCAGTCACAAAGCCACCTGCTCACCCATAGGTAGTCCTGGCCCAACCTGGATAATCAGGGCATCTAGTGGCTGGGCCAGAGAGAGCGTGTGGCCAGGTAGAGCCAGTTGGACTTCAGAAAATGTGCATGGCTGCTGAGGAAACCTCTCTCTGGAATCAGCTGTGAAGCAGCTGGAAACCTGGGAAGGGCAGGGGTTAGCCTGCTTCTCCACCAGTGCAGGAGGCGATGGCAGGGAGGGACAGAGAGAGGGAAGACAGTCGTGGGAGCTCACTGACCATGCTTCCGGCAGCGCCTGGCTCTCGGGCCAGGCTTCCAAAACAGGTCTCCAGGGCACTGGAAGCAGTGGCCGCAGCCACACTTGGGACCTTGCTGGGAAGCAGGGTCTTGGCCCCCGGGACTCATCAATTAGAAACCCTGGGGGTCAAGCTCGACCACACCGTCCACAGCCCTCTGCAGGAGGCAGGTGCACACTCAGTTGAAAACCTGCTTCCAGTCAACCTGTGGGATTTCTAGTTCCTTGAGTCCTAAACGTTTTACAGTAAGAGAGAAACTAGCAAGATAATTTTGAGTGATTTTTATGGAAAAAATAGCAAAAAAAATCCTTTTTAAAATTACCAGCAAACTTAATTATTTCGTTAAGTATCAGCTCTTCAATGCAGAAATTCCTTAAAGATTGTTTTTACTTTTGTTCTTGTGTTTTTCTATTGGGTCATCAGAAAAGTCATGATGTATAGAAAAATACGCCATGAGTTTCCGACGACCCGATATACGTGAGACAAGAAAACTCTCTGATGCTTACAAGGCACTTCGAAGCCCCACGGGCGAGTGCACCGTGGGATCTGGTGTGTGTCCCACTCGGGGTGGACGGCTGGACAGATGGACGTACGCGTGGCCCTCCTTCATACGAGAGAGGTTAGCAGAGGACAGCGGGCTACAGGAGGAGAGGGCAGGGCCGCAGGAGCGGGTCCAGCCATCGGACAGCAATGGTGTCCACACCCAGGACACCCAGAGAATGGAACGAATGCCAGCCGCAGGTGCTGCGCTCAGCACCGCTGTGAGCGGGTCTTCTGCCCCAGCTGCTGACTCCTTGACCGGGTGTCTCCGGGGCTGCTTCTGAGGCATCCTCGAGCCACAGAGGGGGGCCAGTGGGGGAAGGACACCCGTGCCCCGCATCCCTAGGAAGCCATCTGCGTCCTGTAGTCATATCAGCTGTCCAAGCACTGGTGAAGCCCTTGCAGGTCAACCTCAGGACGAGTCCCCGGTCAGCTCTGCTTCTTCACATTCCTGACCTCGGGAGACCCACTGTGTGGCAGGCGCTGGTGCTGGCCCCTGGGCACTGGCTGCTCTGCCGGGCCTGGATGCATGACCCCCAGCAGCAGAGGAGCAGCGGCTCACCCTGGACAGTGCTGAACATTCTCGCGGGCGGTGGAGATGCCTGTGCCCTAGAGCCTCAGAGGCAACCAGGCAGAAATAAGAGAAACAGCAGGACAGGAAAGGGGAGGCAGCTTCCAGGCTGGCCCCAAACAATTGCCTCTAGGCCGGGGGCGGGGGTGGGGGGCGCCCTGGAGGCACACAAACACCCCCGGAGAAATGGCACTGGGTGGGGGGCAGATGAAAGGGCTTGGAGTGCCTTGAGCTGCTCCAACAGGAAAGCGCCTCTGTGCGTTTAACAGGAACTCCTCAAGCTTCCAAGGTTTCATAACCTGAGTGCAGCCTGTAGTGATGTGGTTTGGAAATTAACCCTGCTTTCTTCCCACCGCTGTTTTACATATTAATTAAAGTGTTTTCCTCAGATCAGAAACGCCTGCAGGCAGGGAGGGCTCTGTAAAAGTACCTCATTTCCCTGCTGCCTCCAGCCCCCAGCCAGGCTGTGCAGAGTTCAAGGATTCAGCTTCCCCAGGTCTGAGGCAGAGCGCCTCCCTGCACCGCCACCCTCACACGCGCGTACACGCACACGGCCTTCGCAGTTCATCGCTGTCCCCCCAGGAGGCTGTGAGTCCTCGCTCAGGGAGCTGTCTTGAGGGAGAAGCTGTGGAGGAGGAGCCCAGGGCTGCTAAGGCTGCTTCCCTCACTCAGAAGCACCTTTCTCTCTCTCTTTCTTCCTTCCTTCCTATCTTCCTTCCTTTCTCCCTCCCTCCCTCCCTCTCTCTTTCTCTCTCTCTCTTTCTCTTTCTTTCTCCCAGACGTGCTTGGAAAAGATGTACAAACCACTCACATTCTGTGAACAAGTTGACTTGTTTTAATATTTTCAAATTTGAATTATATATTTGGATTCGACCCATGAGTTGACCTTCTTGGATTATATTAAGCAAACTGTGTGTGTGTGCGTGCATGTGATTCCAGGGACCCTGTGTTCCCTATAAAGCCAGGGGTAGGATTACTTACGCCATAAAGTACAAGCTACGGAGACCATTGTAAACTGCAAGGGAGGCAAGTTCAGTTTCCTTTGCCAAAGAGTAGGCTGTTCTAGAACTCACGCAGCAGGGTTCTCCCACGTGCCAGCAGAGCCCAGTGTAAGTGAATCCCGCTGAGCCAAGAGACCCACACGAAGCCACTGCCCCCATCTTCCTACCTACACAGTGTCACGGGGGCGACTGAGGGCCAGGGTCCACAGTAGTGAGTGCTGCAGGCCCCACCGAGAGCCAACCTCCATACCAGCTCCGATCGGGCAGCATCAGAAATCCCTCCCATGACTGGCCGTGTGGTGGCAGGAAACCTGAACTGGCTAGCTTCGTTGGCAAGGAAATGCCATGGCTCCGTGACTACAGACCCAGGGGCAGCAGGACAGAGTCTTCAGTCCTCAGCCTCAGTTTCAGAACGTCTTTAAGAACTCACATCCACAGCGTGAGCAGCTTCCAGAAGTCTTCTCAGGACTGGAAATGCCACCCTGAGCCCAGCCAGCCCTGCGCAGGCTCCACAGCCCGTGGACCCGCTGGGAATGGGGGGCAGGTGGGTGTGCATGGGCTGCAGGTGCCCTGGGCTGCCTGCAGGTCTGGCCTGGCCTGTAGGTCTACGTGGAAGTCAGCATTCTCACCAAAGCATATTGGGCTGAACTGAGGGTTCTCTCACAGAGGAGTGGGCCACGAGAAGGTGGCCCCCATCCTAGACTCACTGTGGACAAGAAGAAAGCGAAGATGACTGTCAGCCAGTGACTCATCCCGGGATTTCCGCTCTGTGGGGGCAGCCGGGTCCCAGGCCCTCCGGAGCCTCTTGGAACTCCAAGATTCCGCGATGTTGTGCCCACCTGAGAGGAAACGTCCCACGTTTTCAGGGCCGAGGAGTCTCAAGTACTGATGGACGCCTCCTGGTGGGTCTGCATAGCCAGGCGTGAACGAAGGTGACATTGCCGTCATGCCACCTCTGGCAGGAAGGAGAGACGGTAGACAGGAGTAGTCAGTAAACAAATCTGACTTTGAGAGTGACACTCAGGAGAACCCACAGAGGAAAGGATGCTCTGACACCCCAAGACAGTGGTGCGAGTTTTCACTTTAAATACTTGGAGTTCTGACTGAGAAGGGCTGTCCCTGCGAGCACTGCTCCAGGACAGCGCCCGCCCGGAACCAGGATCTGGGTCCCTGTGGTTTCCCTGAGGGACAGTTCTGCACACAGTGGGAAAGCAATGGGAGGTAGCGGGGGAGGAAGGACAGGAAGGACAGCCAGGTGTTTCTGCACTGGCAGCTGTGGGGCTCCTCCCAGGACCCGGTAGTGGGGAGCAGGCAGAGACCCAGCGGTGGGGCAGACCCAGGCCAGGAGGTGACATCTGAAAGTCAAACATGAGGGTTTTTCGGGACTGCCACCCTGAGGGGGCCATGACATTCCACACCCTTTGTTCAGCTGGATCATGGGGCTCTTAAAAAAGAGTTGAAGGAAAAGGTCAGGGCAGAAGCACAGAGACAAACGAGGAGGCAGGGGCCGGGGCCACGTGGGGGCTGGGACCATCCATGGGGGCCGGGGCCGCGTGGGGGCCGGGACCATCAGTAGGGACCAGGGCCATCCATGAGGGCCGGGGCAGCGTGGGGGCCAGGGCAGCGTGGGGGCGGGGGCTGTGTGGGGGCCAGGGCAGCATGGGGGATGGGACCATCAGTGGGGACCAGGGCCATCCATGGGGGCTAGGACAGCACGGGACAGGGAGGGCTATCAGTGGGGTCCCCCACCTGCAGCTGGAGCCCACAGGCTTCTAGGTGTGGGATGTTCTGCCATCGATCCACCACAGGGCACTGGGGAAGGGGACAGGACAAAAAGGGGCACGGCGGTCAGCAGGAAGTTGGCAGTCTGAGTTCTTGCAGATCTTCCGGCTCCTGGGAAGGCCTCGGGCTTGCCAGCCGAGACCACAGTCTGTCGTGTGGAACATAATTAGTAAACGGGGTGAAGGGTCCTCGGGGCTCTGAGATGATGTCTTTGCACACTTGACCCGTCCTGCAGAGCCAATGACTTCTGAAGGCACAGGCCACAGGGCAGGTGGTCAGTTCAGACATTGCTGACTGGAGCTAATTCAGTTGCCTCAGAGGTGCTTCCTGCACTAGGAGCCTGAGCCCAGAGAGGGAACGCCCGCAGGCCCGCAGGCCCGTAGCCAAGGAGAGCCCTTTTCCTGACGTGCATCTAACCCGCCTCCTTCAGTCTTCATTGAGTACTCTTCTGTAAGTGACAAGAGCAAGGAAAGTGGTTGAAGACACAGGGGCAGCAAGTTCATAATCATTTTTATTTCACTCATCTCCCCCAAGAAGTACGATGTCCGCTGTGGTGTGCTGGGGCAGGAGGCGGAGAGACTGACCTCTTAAGGAGTTGCGGTCAATGCCACGGTCTCTCTGGTGCAGCGCCGGAGAGAGACCCGAGAGGGCAAGAGAGAGCACCCCAGGGCACGCCAGGCGCCACGTCTCCACCCCACTGGAATCCTGAGCATGGATGCCACATTCCTGGCATGCTTTACAAGCCACCAGTGCCAGGATTTGAACTGAGGCTGGCCATGTGGGATCTGCTTCCCTAAAACTCTAGACCATGGGGCCAGTCCCATGCTACCTTAACATGATGGCTTAAGAAATGAAACCAAGAACGTTGTTCATTTGCTTTATCATCACTCTAATTTATCTCATCCCCAGATTCTTCCAGGACCACAAATTCAATGTTTAGTTCAGACCCTTTCTTTAGGCTCCAGTATTCATGAATAGCTTCAGTGGGAGAGAACTCGTAGGTTTTCATTTTCTGCTTGTCAGTGTTTCCCCTTGTCAGAAAACTAACAGTGATTTCACTCCCAGTGTACAGAACACAGCCGAGGGGGCCCGCTCCAGGGTGAGACTCCAGAGACAGAGGTGAGTGACTAGAGACTTGGCCAGGCACATCTGTAACCACCAACGGAAGTGAGCTGACAGCTGAGTGAACTGTCGGAACCACGCTAACTCACGTCCCCAGGGGAAAGGAGGGCGTCATGGGCGAAGGCTCTGGTTCTCGGGCACTGGCCGGTAAAGGCCCTCACTGACTAGATTCAAAGTCTGATGTACAGCCAGCCCTGTGGGCCAGTGGTTAAGGCGGCTGCGTCCCCCATGGCTGACCACAGGTTCAAGTTCCGAGCCTGGCGGCTTGAGAAACATGCTGTGCGCATAAGTGAGTGTGTCCGAAGGCCCTGAAGGAGGGAGAGATGGAGGAGAGGGGCTGTGGCAAGCCCCGTAGCTCTCTCTCCCTCTCTCTCTGCCTGTCTCTGGTGAGCACATGTCCAACTGGCATGATAAAGAGTAGTGTTGATGTCTGTGTGGACATTCAAATATGTATTTTGATTCAAATGAATGGATAAACATGAATGTCTAATAAAAGTTAGGCAACGGGAACCAGCAGTTAGCGTAATGGCTATGTCGCTGGACTCCCACGTAGTCGACCGCGGTTCGTGTCCCGGACCTGGTGGCTTAAAACTCACGCCGGGCGCATGTGCGTGCGTGCCCAAGATCCCGAGAGGAGAGTGGAGGAGAAGGGATTGCGGCGTGACCATCCCCCCTGGGGGGTGATTTCTCGCTTTCTGTCTCTATGT